TCTCAAGTGCTGTTAATACTGAAAACCTTTTAAACCCAAGATTCAAATAGAGATAAAAGTACAAGGAGAGTATAACTTCAGGAAGCTCACCCCCCTCCCATGTCTGCACCCCCTTGAGTACCATAACCCTTGCAATACAGCCATCCATTATTCTTCCAACCATTGTTATAAAAGTTATTTTGAATCAACTTTCCCAGTGATAGAACTGTAGTTTATTTACATCTTAAATGAGTATAWCAGCATAGCATCATATAAATAGATAAATTAAAATGTACATGAGAAGCAAGACTTAAATACTGCAATAAGATCCTTTAAGTTAAAACATGTATTGTTGCCCAAAACCCTTACAATATCATGAGAAGTGGTTWGGCGGCCTTTGTCAAGTTTTGAGATTATCAATCTCTTGTATATCACACTGCTTTAACCACAGTTTAAAATGAAACAGCTTGACTTAACATCAAAACTTAGTAAATACAACCATTTTATGAGTAAYGWKWGAKGAAGAAAAGCAGAACTGTTCAAGCRATTAGCTCACTGGRACAGCAAAGTTTWTCSCCTCKGAAACATTTTCTAGTACACTTGTAGATTTCCCATTGTTATTGTTRAATGGATTAGCACAGTTACAACAAGAACAATGTTCACAAGGCTGATTACTTATATAGCACGGACAGCGCTTGCCAATACATTTCCTTGACACACCCATAGATGCAACGCCACATCGGCATGATCGCCCTCGTAGTTTAGCAGAKWCAGCTTGYKTTGACAGATCAGTCTCTACRAACAAAGGCTTTTCATCAATTTCGTCAACAACCTGGACTTCTTCATTATTGTCTTGATCGTTTTCAATCGTCTGAATTGTTTCTGTAAACTGCTGACACACAATGTTCTCAGGCTCTTTATCCRTGCCGGTCATCTTCTTTTGAAACTTCTTTTTATTATAGTTATAGGTAGTCCCCTTAAAATGCTTCTTTTTCTTCCTTTTAGGCTTCTGCTCTTCGTTCCCATCAATCTCCCTAAGTAGTTGGATCATTTTGCGTTTTGGCAAGGGTGTAATGGCTTCCGCCGGAAGTCGGYTGACAGAGTCACGTGACTTGTCCGCCATTTTGTCGATCGATTTCGCGCTAGGATTTTTCGAAACCGGTGGAACATCGGYCTTAATATCGCTTAATCCAGTTACCAATGTCTGATCTTTAAGGTAGTCTTCCATGGCGATCGGGCTCGCTAACGCCTCGTGTATAACTGCAAGTATTGCATTATATTCTCCGTTTTGACTTCTGAGGTGGCCAATAGCCCCYGAATTAGCGATGAACTCGCACAGTTTCTGATAACACGCTAGCAATACTCGAGTTTGTTTATCAGCTACGAGAAGATCCATGTTAAGACACCAACGACAGCCAGGGTTTAGCGATCGCTTCTTTCTCAAGCATCCATGGCACACATAATGCACACAGCTTTCAGATCCATACGGCTCRACCAAAAGTCCTCTACAAACACGGCAAGAGAGCGCCTGTCGTAGCTTGGGTAACAGCTGGAAAAGGTCGTTCCAGTTACTTGAAGCGTCRTCGCTTAATGACAACATGCATTTACATGCTTCCACGTAAAGAAAGGTCGCGTTCATTGAGGATTTTTGATCAAAATATCAGCTTTCTACGAGACAGTATAAATAAGTACAAGTACGATCACACGTTCCTTCGACGCTTGTTTTTTATTGATATACGCATGCGCTCACTATTAACACGTGCGAGATACAAAAACCCTACCTACCCCTACTAAATATCCAAACTTACTAATAAAAACCAAAAAGGGTCCAACAAAAACGAAATTTTACTCTTAATGTTTCTTGGGTACATTAATGCTTTATATAATGTTATTTTCTGATAATTATTYGAATAAATACAATTTATAGGTTTGTGGAAAGTCACCCACCCCCTCCCCTAGGGGTAAAGTTTAGTCAAAGGCCTCCCAGATTCCCAGACTAGATTCAAGATGTCGGCTATTTTTCRCTCAGCAGTTCTCGTCCGAAAAACCCTCCAGTTTGCTCCTTCTGCAGCCTGTATCCGTGCTCCTACCTTATGGAGGAATGGCCAGGTATTAGCTAGAGCTGCTTCAGGGAGAAAAGTGTTGGACGAGATTGATAAAAAGAGCAAAGAAGCTGATCTTGGAGGAGGACAAAAAAGGATTGAAAAACAACATGAAAAGGTAAGGTCATTTATAATTTTATTATAAATTTTCTTATCGTTAGTAAATGATTCCTAGGAATGACAAATAGCTATGACAACATAATTTTCATTTATATGATAAGCACCGTGCTTTTTCACATTTATATTTATTTTTTATTTATTTGTAAATTGATTTTGGACTGTCTTTGTTAAAATTAGAAAATAAATAAATCAATTAAGAATTAATAACTRTCACTTTTATGCTTATATTTTCCTTTTTTTTCACCAACAAATTTCTAGGTTTGTTAAAAATGCTTCAAAAAAATCTTATTTTATTGCCTGCCTGTCATAAAAATATTTTAAAATATTTAATTATCATTCCTTGCATAAAAATAATTCAACACTTTTACCATATTAATAATTTGTATTTTGAATTTTATTTTCAACTTGCACCTTTTCCCCCACTCTTTTTTGTATCTTATTAACCAAAACTTTTACACTGTATTATAAAAAGCCGTTGACATGCTTCAAATTATTTATGCAACTATAATGCATAGTTACGGCTATGGTAAGATGTGCTATAGCTACAGTATGGCTACAAATTTCCCATAGATTTCCCACTCATGAAAACTGCTTTATTATAAATTAAAACTAGAAGCTATRTAACCAGTCACAGCTGTTTCATGTCTCTGCTTCAGCAATGGCATTTAACTGTGTTCAAGAGCTCATAGATTAAATATTTTGTCAAAATTTCAGGGGAAACTCACTGCTCGTGAGAGGCTTCACCTCCTTCTTGATCCAGACTCATTTGTTGAGTATGACAAATACATGGAGCATAACTGCACTGAGTTTGGTATGCAGAATAACAAGGTAAAGAAGATGAAAGTGAAATTCATTTTTCAAAAAGTGAAATACAGTGAAGTTCAATTATCTCAAGCCTCCTGGGAACAAGAGAGAAGGTAGAGATATTACCGTAGGGAAACAAGTGAGCAGACACTGCCTCGAGTGCAAGATAATGGAAAGTTTGAGATATCTTGGGTTCAATATACTGTACTGTACAAATGCTATTGCAATCCCTGTGGTATTTATTTTCTATTTKATATACTCTAGTTCACAGGAGACAGTGTAGTTACAGGCCATGGAACAATCAATGGCAGGCTATGCTTTGTGTTCAGTCAAGTAAGTCTAACACAATGTCTCTTTGCTATAGATACAAGAAGAAAAATAAGTATTTTGCTGTGCTTCCAATAGACCCCTTGCATGTGACSTCAAATGAACTCAATTTGATAGACAAACAAAAGAATTTTAATCTCTTGAGAATCAGGGGTGGATCTAGGGGAGAGGTGCAGRGGGAGTGCACCTCCCCCTAGATGAGCTGATATTACTGAAATATTGGTGTTTGAGTTTGTAAGCAAAGGCTGCATCCCCTTTTAAAATGAAAATCCTGAATCGTGAACCACCCTCCCCCCTCCCCCCTTAGAAAAAATCCTGGATTCATTTCTGAGAATTGTAAGCCTATTATTATGTACTCCAAATTGAGCTGCATTCTGATGTGCTGCAAGGGCCAGTCTACAATCTTGGACAAAAAGATTTGAGAATTTTTCATCCAATCATGAAATAGTAGAATTTCCCTTATTRAAAAACTTATTGTCCGTACCCCTTCTCCCCCAGGACAATGTTGGTCCCAGTAGGTAAAGCAGYCCTGTACCCCTCAAAACAACATTGTTTGGTCATTTTAAGGGGAATTTCACATGTTGTTCATGAAAATACCATCAAAACCAAAAATTTCTCAACATTTTTGACCAAGATTGTATATAGCATGCCTGCTTTTTTGTGACAGCAACTTGTATGATTTTTACTTCTTTCAAGGATTTTACTGTCTTTGGAGGAAGTTTGTCCAGTGCTCATGCTCGTAAGATTTGTAAGGTGAGTCTTTGATGAAAAAACCTTGGGTAATCCATTTTTTGAAGAAAATAATTAGGCTTGAACAATTTTGAATAGAGTTATTTTTTTCTCAGATTTCTCCTGTTTTCCTCCCCCCTCAAAACCTAACATGCTAAATCCCAATTCATTCTGTGAGTTAACTATACACTGACGTTGATCAACCCAGAGGTTATTTCAGGATATCAAGAAATCGGAAGAACTTATGCAATGGTAATAGTATCATAACTAATACCTGTTGAATTACATTCTTATTTCTTTATGAACCAGATTATGGACAAAGCCATGTTGGTGGGTGCTCCTGTGATAGGGCTCAATGATTCAGGTGGTGCTCGTATCCAGGAAGGAGTAGAGTCTCTTGCAGGTTATGCTGATATCTTCCAGGTAAATTATTAGGAATGGTACTTAGGTATTTTCTAATATCAWAACACATGCATTTTTGCCTGATCACTGTCCTGTCTCCTCTGGGGTCTCAGGTAAATTTCCAGGTTCGGCATCSCATGTGAGAAGAGTTTGTTGGATCTCTCCATTGATTCATAGGTTTTTCTCTGGTTTCTACAGTTTTCCTCACTCCACAAAACCCAACATGMGAAATTCCAATCCACTCTGACCTGTGCATTTGCCATGCTTCCCTCTTTCTTTGACTTCAGCCACAAGTTTTTTTGCAGGGTGCTTAAATTTTATTATTTCTTTTTTCTAATATTTTTCAGAGGAATGTAGAATCATCAGGTGTGATACCCCAGATCTCTCTCATCATGGGTCCATGTGCTGGTGGAGCTGTTTACTCTCCTGCCATCACTGACTTTACTTTTATGGTCAAGGTAAGTGAATAATATAAGATATCTACACCCTGTTGAGTGATTTTTATATTTGATTTATTAGGATTTGTGTAATTTAGGAAGGCTGTCACATAGATAGACAAATAGGTAGGTATAGGTAGATAGATAGATGATAGGTAGATAAGTAATGATAAAAGGGTAAATTTTACACCATGAAAAGACTAACGTTACTAACGTTTCGGACACTAGTCCTTCRTTGGAGTAAAAGAGAAAGAGGTGGTAGAAAGGAGTGTTTATATACTGAGGTTTAAGTTGCTAAGAAAGTAGTTAGGTAAGTAGATAGGTCTATATTCAAGGTACATATAAAAATTGAATTATAAATCRAAATATGATTTCAAAAAAGCTGAAACTATTAAATTTGTAAACATTTCAGGAAACTTCTTATCTTTTTATCACTGGACCAGATGTAGTAAAGGTTAGTGGAACACTTGTAGTGCTGGGATCCCTGTGTTAAAGATTTTTTAATAATGTTTATACATCATGAGAGTTAGACAAATAAAGCTTTAAATATGCATGTTAAAAACTGGTTTACTTGAAGAAGCAGCCTTACTACCATAAAGGGAGTGGAATTTCCAAGATGTAGTAATGATCCCAGGGGGAGGGGGTCATAAAGAAAATGATATGTGAGATGACATGATAATTGTAACAGGAACTCAGTGCAATAAATTATATCTTTTGTCATAAACAGGGTCTACAAATTTGAGTTTTTTTTGTCATAAACAGGGTACCCCTTTCAGAATCCCAGCAGAACACCCCTACCCAAATTCTAGCAGAGTACCCCCCTCACCGGTAATGATGTTCATATAGTATTGAATGTTCAGTGAATCTCATACACCTCTATGACTGGGATTGGTTTCAAGAGATTTCCATAGAGTCGAACGGGTCTCAGGACAATGATTACAGCTTCTTATAGCTGGATAATTCTAAGTTAAATAACTATAACCTTGTATTTTTTTTGTCAAGGCTGTGAATAAAGAAGAGGTGACACAAGAAGACCTTGGCGGACCCAAAACACACACATCAATCTCAGGTAATTGGAAAACTTGCTTAAGACTTGTTTGTCATCATTGAGTCAAGGAGGAGTAATTTTTTTTTGCTCTTGTGTACATTAGGTGTGGCTTCAGGAGCCTTCGATAATGACATTGAAGCTCTTGCTGGGTAAGTGTTGAATTTRTAACCATTTGAATAATAATGTAACTTTTAATGCACAACCTTCAATTCTTTTCATGAGTGACTCCTTTGTGAGRTTTGCTCCACACGCACTGCATTCAGTATTTATAACACAAAAATAACAACTGGTTAAATTCCATGGAGAGAGTAAACTGGAGAACTCAGAGAAAAACATGTGGCAAGGAAGAGAACAATACATCAAACAAACGTGATATTATACTGTATGTGGTTCAGTCAAGATTGAACCCTCAACCCAGAATTAAAATACAGTGCTTTAACAGCACATATCACCCCATCCACACAATTGGGTGTCCAGTAAGCCTGAAACGAGATGAAGTTTTACCCCTGACTCTATTCTTTCATATTAAAATTTTTGATTCCTTAGAGAATACAGGAACAATAGTCATAATTAAARAACAAAAGCAGTGTGAAAAGGATTATGGTCTAGAGACGGGGTTAAAACGTCATCTGGCTTCAGGCTTATTCACAAAACTTTCATAACTAACTCTTCGTACTGTACATTCTTGTTTAACCTGTAGGTCTAATGTCCATGTATATTATGTTTATTTGTTTTAGAATCAGAGAATTTGTGGATTTTCTACCCTTGAGTAATAAATCCCAGTCACCAAAGAGAGAAAATGATGATCCTTGGTAAAGTTATATTCCAACAATGTTCTAATGTTTCCCAAACACAGTGTCAAATTAGTATTTTTCCATTTGGAAGTATGTTTTTTGTTCTTCTATTCACCCCTTCCTATCCCCTTTACCAATGTCATTGAAATA